CCAACCAGCTGTGGCCTCATTACTGCACCCTCCTGCATTCAGCCACTTAGCCCTCTGACTCTGATATCTGCCTCTTCTCCTTGCAGAACTCAGTGCTGGGCAATCTGCGTTCTCTGCTACAGATTTTGCGTCAGGATATGACTCCAGGAAGTGCCTCAGGTGGTCGCCGCCGCCAGCGGGGGCGCTCAGTGCGTCGTCTGGTTCGCAGGCTCCGCCGCTGGGGACTGCTTCCCCGAACCAACCCCTCATCTCGGGCCTCTGAGACCAGACCCCAGGTCACACCTCCTGTTGCTTCTCTTGAGGCCCTGGATGGCAGCCCAGGTGCAGCCCGTGAGGGTGGAGCAGTGGGTGGGCAGGATGGGGAGCAAGCCCCACCACTGCCTGTCAAGTCCCCCCTCCCATCTGCCAGCACATCTCCAACCCTCCCTTCTGTCCCTGAGACCCAGGGGCCACTGCCCTCAGTCCCTCTGGAGCCATCAGTATTGTCTGGAGTGGTGCATGCCCTGCGAGGCCGCCTCTTGCCCAGCCTGTGGCCCCAAGGACCAACCTGGACTCCGCCTGGACCCCACACAGCGGTCCTGGCCCCAGAGGATGAGGATGATGTGTTGTTGATGCCACTAGCTGAGCCAGTGGTCTGGGTGGTAGAAACAGAGGATGAACCACTGCTTGCCTGAGGGGACCTGGCTCCTCTGGGGGGGTGGGTCTAGTCACAGTGGCACACCCTTTTAGAGAGTGGCTTAGCTTCCCCACTGACCACTGTAGCTACTAGAAAGTTAGGTGTCCCTCAGTCAGGGAGAGGGCTCACTGAGAGCTTCCTCTACACAGCCAGAGACCACAGTTCCTTTCCCACCATCCTTTCCCTATCCTTACACTATCCAGTTGAGTGTTTTTAAGAAGCAAAGTTCTTAAAGGGTCATAGGCCTGGACACTCCATCCTTGCCAAATCCCAACCCCAAAGTGGCCTTAAACACAAGAGTGACAATTGACTGGAGACCCTCCAGCCCCAAGGGGAGGATCTGGATAGGGCCTGAGGTTTTGCCAGTCTCCATCCCTATAGAGCCTGGCTCACAAAAAGAATGCAACAAATATTTTTGTCCCACACCTACAGCATTGCCCAAGAAATCAAGGTAAAAAAAAATAAAGGAATCATAAATTTTAACATTTTGTAAATCAGCTCTGAGCCTGAGCCTGGCCTCTCTCCCCATCTTGGTTTATGCTCCCTCTTGTTGCTCCTCTCTCTGAAGGTATTTGTTAGCCCTTTGCATGTTGCCCTCTTCCTATCCATCTTTCAGCCACCCCACCCTTGATTTTTATGCCCCTTGAAAGGTAAGAAAATTCAAGGAAGCAGGGTGCAGTGGTGCATGCCTATAATCTCAGCAGCTCGGGAGGCTGAGGCAGGAGGATGGCAGTTTCAAAGCCATCCTCAGCAAAAGCGAGGTGCTAAGCAACTCAGTGAGATCCTGTCTCTAAATAAAGTCAAAATAGGACTAGGGATGTGACTCAGTGGTTAAGTGCCCCTGAGTTCAATCCCTGGTACCAAAAGGGAAAAAAAAAAAAAAAAGAAGGAACCCTAAGGACCACCCTTCTTCACCTCTGCTCATTGCCTGGGGCCAGCCCTATAGTGACATAGGGTTGAGCATCAAATTTCTTTACTTACCCCTGGTTGGAAATCAGGGAGCCAGCTGGGCCCTACAGCTAGAAAGGTTCCCAGTTATGGAGTACTCTCAGAGCACAGATGTCACACAGGAGCAATCTATCCCTAGTAGAATATAGGAGCTGTGTGACTCCTGCTCTCTACCCTCCCATCCCCATCAGGCACTTAACAGCCTGTCCTACACCAAAGAGATGAGCTCTCAGTGCAGCTTCCTCAAAACAGGGACCAAAGCTGGGTGCCATACTGCACACCTGCAATCCCAATGCCTTACTGAGCAGGAGGATACTAAGTTCAAGGCCAGCCTCAGCAACTTAGTGAAGCCCTCAGCAATTTAGCAAGATTCTGTCTCAAAAATGAAAAAGGGCTGAAGATGTGGCTCTGTTATAATGTACCCTAGGTTAAATCCCTGGTATCCCCCCTCCCCAAACAAAAAAGCAGGGAATGATTAGTCAAAGGGAAAATCACAACCATTCAGCTTATGGAAGGGCTGGCATCACCAGGCCTGAATCCAAGAGGATGGGTTCTACCAACAGTTGGGAGAGAGCTGTGAATTCTAGGGCAGGATAAACAACAACAAAACATGATGGCTAGACACTGGACTTCCTGAGAAGAGACAACTGAGCATAATAAGCAATGGTCAGAGCCAAAGAGCTGGAGAGAGATATCTCCTGAGAAATGGAGGCCTGCCTCTGGTGAGAAGGTGACAAGTTGTTGAAGAGCTTAAAAAGAAAATCTTGGGGGGCTGGAGTTGTGGCTCAGCAGTAGAGCACTCGCATGGCACGTGTGAGGCCCTGGGTTCGATATTCAGCACCACATATAAATAAATAAAATAAACATATTGTGTACAACTAAAAAATAAATAGTAAAAAGAAAGAAAGAAAATCTTGGGACATAGGATATAGAAGGAGCCTGTGGGAGTGAGACCTCAGGTGCAAAGTTGAGATGGTCCCCAGGGGAATGGGCCCCTTACTTCCCTGGTGGAAGGGCCCTGTTGATTATACCCTGTCAACATTCTCACAGTCAGTAGTAATTACACAATTTCCCTCCTAGTAAGCAAGAGCCTGAGGAAGTGGCAGAGGGGGTGTGGACCCATGTGCAGTTCTGGGACCCTAGTAATTTGGCCCAGGAAAAACCTGAGCTCCTTCCACTCCACTTCCTCTCCAGAGTGTGTGGAAGGACCTCCAGGAAACCTGGCTCCTGCTTATGATTCTCCCTTGGGCCCTCCCAGTGCAGACAAACCGGATCCACCCAATGTCTCAGTGAAAAATGCAGTAGGAATGGTAATTTCCCCTTCCCTACTTCTTCACCTCCTCAGTGCATTCTCCCTTGCTCTTCTCTTCCTCCTTAGCCACCTCAAAAATCTGCAACCTGATATCTTCATCCCTTGACTTTTTCCAGACCTTTTTCTCTCTTAGGGGTATTTGCAGTTTTAAAGTAGACAAAGGTTAGGTTGAGGATCACAAGTTCACAGCCAGCCTCAGCAAAAGCAAGATTCTAAGCAACTCAGTGAGACCCTGATTTTAAATAAAAAATACAAAATGGGGCTGGGGATGTGGCTCAATGGTCGAGTGCCCCTGAGTTCAATTCCTGGTATGCCACTCCCCCCAAAAAAATTTAAAAATAAACAAAGTGGACAAAGATTTAAAATAAAAGCATCCCTTGTGGTGGTAGAATGCTTCAGAATGTTGGAGGGAGGGCCGGGCCTTAGGGCAAGAGTTCCCTAGGGAGGCCTTTGTTTATGGAAGTTTGTCTAGGATCTGTGTGTGCCTTACTGGATGAGGGGCAGGTGGTTCAAAGTAAAAAGCAGGCTGCTCCTTTGGCCCAAAGCTGAACTGGGGAGGCAGAATTCAAAGTAGAGAATTGTTGCTGGGCTCTGCAGCCCCTGACTCACTCTTATCTAGTACAGAAAGTAATCCAACCACCCAAGAGAGTTTTCCAGATTCATAGAGATCACTACTTTACAATTTAAAACAAAACAAAACTCATTTTGGAAGAAAATCATCCTAAAATGTTCCGCTCATCTTCAGAAGACCTGCGATATAAAAATTTTCTGAATAGCTGAGAATCATCCATGAAATCTGATGACTTCTTTGCAGGAGTCTCTTCATAAGCTATAACTATTGTGGGGGACACTCTTTGACTATATATTAAATGACCTTAGACTTTTTTTTTTTTTTTTGGCAGCACTAAAGACTAAACCCAGGGGTGCCCTACCACCGAGCTTTTTTCTTTTGAGACAGGTCTCATTAAGTTGCCAAGGTGGGCCTTGAACTTGTGATCCTTTGCCTCAGCCCCCTGAATTACAGGTGTACACTACCATGCCTGGCCCTTAGACTCCTTTTTAATGCTTCTGGATGCTTTAAAAATTTTTTCCTGAGGATGCCTCATTCTACCAGACTATTAGAGGGCACTTGCTGCTCTAAATATGATTCTAATCTATTCTTTTTGGGGTTACTGGGTCTTGAACCTGGGATACTTTACCACTGAGCCATATCACAGCCCTTTTTATTTTTGCTGAGGCTGGCCTTGAACTTGTGATCCTCCTGCCTCAGCCTCTTGAGTTACTAAGATTACAGGCATGTGCCACGACACCTGGCAGTTCTAATCTACTACAGGAACACACATGGACACATTAAAAGTGTGAATAAAATAAGGACAAGCAGACTGTTGGTGAGGACTGAAGAGTCTAATTAGTAAAATGTACAAATATATTAGAAGCTGAGGAGTATTCCCTGCTTCCTTTAGATCCTGTTCTCCAGACAAGTGAAGTGTCACTGCACATCATTCCCAAGAATGTTATTTGCCTCTTCTATTGGAAAAGTCCTCCAAGGATGACAAAATGGATTGTTCCAAATAATAGAAAAGAGTTGGAATTTTTAAGACAAGGAAAGCAGCATAGCATAGAAATGGAAAAAAAAATAGTCTTTGGCCTTGGAAAGCTCTGGGTGGAATCCCAGTCACCCCTGCATTATTACTTTGGGGACAGGCCACCCACCTACCATTATAAGTCTTTAGATCAGGTAGAGGAAGGGAGATAATGCAAAACTATCTCTAGCATAGCATCTGGCAAATAGAGGGTGAAGTTGGGGAGAGGAAATCAGAAGGTGTATTTGGGTTCTTGAGAGTGTCCAGAAGAAAGGGGACAAGAGTCGAAACCTGAAGGGAAAAAGAAGCTGGGCACAAAAGGGACAGTAAGGAGCTGCCTACCTAGGTAGACACCATTCATTCTGGTATATTTTTTTACCTGCTCTGATTAACACTGGCTGGGTGGGCCTGAGCCTCTACAATGGTTTGCACCTACCTGAAACTAGTGGCAAAAAAAAAAAGAAGAAGAAGAAGCAGCAGAAGCAGCAGCTGCTGCCCAAACAAAGCAGCTTTTCTTACAGATCCCCCATCTGCCTAAGGCCACACTTGGAAATGGGTACTTTTATGGCTCTCAGCCCAGAAGAGACAGGGTGGAAGAGGAGACAGTGGTGGGGTGGATGGTCCACTGCCCCTGCATCTCTTTTGGTATATTTTTCTTTTGTCTTTCAGATCAGCTTATTGTCTTTTTGCCTCTCATCCTTCTTTTCAACCACTGAGCACCCATTCTGGGGCTACATGCTGGGATAGGGGGCTGGAAACAGACACAAATAATACACAGTTTTCATTCTGACACCTGGAGAAAAAGACCTTTTCTACCCTGGGAATCTGCCTCCTGCCATTCTCAGCTCTCTTGCCCACGGGACCTGCCCCCACCCCACCTCTCTGAATCTCCATCTCATCCGCGCCTCTGACTTTGTTCTTTCACGCCTTAACCAGGCTCATGGTGAGTGTGCTCCCAGAGGGAAGTGACACAAAGAAAAGGGAGGGGGGCAGAAGGAGGGAATCCCGCTGACATCACTGCTCATTAGCATATGTGACCTCATCAGAGGGCGGGACAATTTCCCCAGGTGTCTAGGGGGAGGACTTGTGTGGGGGGGGTGGTATTTAAAGGGAAAAGCTGACAGTGCTGCTGAGTGAGGGAGCGGGTGCTGCAAGCTGCTGGGCTGCACTTGCACGCACACACGCGCATGTACACGGACCCTGATACCGACATGGACATGGATACAGAAAACACAGCACTTTGTCCCTCCGACAGCTGCCAGGCCTCCCCATCAGGGACACCTACACCAGGTGAGGGCTAACGTAGCAGGTGCCGGCTGCAAACACGGGGGTGGGAGCTGAAGCTTTGGTGGTCAGAACTAGAGGTTTAATCAGCAAGAGGGGAAAGACAAGTCAGGAAGTAATGAAGACCCTTGTTCATAAAGGGCTGGGCTAGGGTGGAGGAGGAGAAAAGCTGCCCAAATGCCCCCTCCCCCATCACTCCCAGGGCTTTGGGGTTTTGCTTGAGAAAGCAATATGTGGTGCTCAGGTCAGCCTCATTCCCTATAGTCTGGGACAGACTGGAGGCAAGGGTGAAAGGGAAGGGGAAGCCCACAAGCCTGGGAATCACGGGCAGGGGGCTACCATGGGGACCTGTTGTAAGGGTTTCTTCTGGCTCCTAAAGGACTTGGCTGTCAGCCAAGTATTGATCCTGGGCTATTTCCAGCCTTTCTCCATCCCCCTTTGTTATGTCTGTTGTTCCTCCTCCAGTTACCCTGACCCATGCATTGTCACCCTCCCTCTCACTCATACTCTCTCTCTCCCCACCTCTACCTCTCCATGAACGCAATATTCTCTCCCACTCACAGGGACAACCAGGGATGCAGGATTCTCGCACACAGCCATGCACTGGGGGATGCTCACCTACAGGGCACGGGAAGAAGCAGCGTGGGCACACACACACACATCCACAGAGACCACACAAGGAAGAAGTCTCACACACACGTCCACAACCCAAACACACATCATCTCACAGAGCCCTTGAAACAGACTCCCTACAAAGTTTTTGACTCTGCTTATATCTACTCCCCAGAATCTTCAGCAGCTTCAGTTTCTCATACCTTCTGCCCTCCTCAGTGTGGGCATTACCAGTGCAAGAAGAAGTAGGATTACCAGTAGGAGGCAGGCCCCTTGATGGAAGGATGGACAGCCTCCTCCAGCCCCCCTGGGCCAGAGGTCAAGTCTGGGAGTATGCCTATGTCAGTTTGAAGTGTGAGTGGGTATGTGACCTGCACACAGGTACCTCTCCTGTATGGGGTAATTCTGAGCAGATGTAGCTAGGACTACAATGGGGAAGTCATCATGTCACATCCTTGAAGGCTTACCAGTCCAAGCTTCTAGGAGACTTTAGTGTAAAAGGTTGAGCCAAAGATTCTGTTGTTTAGGGTCATGGTCATCAACTGGGTGTGGCTGGCCTCCAAAGCTGAAGCAGCTTGGGTTAGCTCTCTGCAGATGTCTGGACATATACCATTCATGGCTTCCTTTTCTTTGCCCATCCAGAAACAGATGCCACACTTCTGAAGAAACCAGAGAAACTGTTGGCAGGGTTGGACCAGAGTGGGCTACCCCCTGTCCCTGGGGTCCCCAGACGAAGAGGCAGTATGCCTGTGCCCTACAAGCACCAGCTATGTAGGGCACAGGCTGTAGATGAACTTGACTGGCCGCCTCAGGCCTCATCTTCTGGTTCCTCTGACTCCTTGGGCTCAGGAGAGGCAGCCCCTGCCCAAAAGGATGGCATCTTCAAGGTCATGCTAGTAGGGGAGAGTGGAGTAGGCAAAAGCACCCTTGCAGGCACTTTCGGTGGTCTCCAGGGAGACAGTGCTCATGAGCCGGAGAATGCAGGTATTTGGGAGAGCACGTGGTGGTGGAGGGGACCCTGGGGCCCTATTGAGGGATGAAGTGCTCATGGCATAAGCAGCCCCTGGAGAATTAAACCTAAGAGAAACTTCTCCGGTGCTTTCTGTGGCAGACTCCCTGGCAGGGGTTCCCTGCTGCTGGGATATGAGGTGTTTATGGTTACCAGTTTTCACAAGTGTTGGGGAACCTCCTAATGGGTTTTATTCTATTTCCCAACAGAGGACACCTATGAGAGACGAATCATGGTGGATAAGGAGGAAGTAACTTTAGTTGTTTATGACATCTGGGAACAGGTGAGGATTAAGATGTGGCTGAACACAGGTGAAGTTGGGAGAAAACTGAGGAAGGGCAGTCTGGCTGAAGGCTGGTGGGACTACAGACCCTGGCGTAAATGTGTACAATTCATTTGTACTATCTCAGACAACAAGATCCACACCAATGTGTAATGTATACCAGGCCCCTGGCCATAAGAGCTACTACTCTTCCAGGATCTTCTGAGGAAAGTTAGGCAATGGCACACCTGTAATTCCAGGGACTCAGGAGGCTGAGACAGGAGGATTGTGTTTAAATCCACCTTCAGCAAAAGCAAGGTGCTAAGCAACTCAGTGAGACCCTGTCTCTAAATAAAATATACAAAAAGGCTGGGCTTGTGGCTCAGTGGTTAAGTGTCCCTAGGTTAAAAAAAAAAAAAGAACATTAAATTTAGGATCTGAATTTGACAAACTGCAGCTTCAAGCCAGGCTAGACGACCCAGAAGTTGATTCCATCCATAAATTTTCCAGCCTAAAAGAGTCTGATGTGACAGGACAAGTGCTCAGAGTGCTGGAGTATCAAAAAGGAAAAAAAGGCGGGGGGAAGGGGGTACTCAATGTTTGAACATAAGGTTATTACATAGAAATGAGAGGCCAAATTACATACATTTAAATAGCATTTGTTTCTGCATCAAGAGCTTAACATAAGAATGTAGAATGGCTACCCTGGTCTAGGATCCTCCAATTTCCCCTAAATGGGGGTCACATTACTAACCTCAAACACACTCTGGGAAGGATGTCATTAACTAACTCAGCTGTCCTAAGCAGGTGGTTTCTCACACAGTGGGATTCCTCATCTTTGAGATGTAGGTGCTCGACTGGGTCAACTCTGTCTTCAGCCCTAACTTTCTACCAATCTCTGACGTCTCCAGGGAGATGCTGGGGGGTGGCTGCGGGACCACTGCCTTCAGACGGGGGACGCCTTTCTCATCGTCTTCTCAGTCACGGATAGACGAAGCTTCTCCAAAGTTCCAGAGACCTTACTTCGGCTCCGAGCTGGGAGGCCCCATCACGACCTACCTGTCATCCTGGTTGGAAACAAGAGTGACCTGGCCCGCTCCCGGGAGGTATCCCTGGAGGGTGTGTATTCTGAACCAATTCCATACTTGCCATTTTAGGGGACCGCTCTAGCTTCTGTATCACCTCTTCTCCCTGAGGCCTTTTTTTTTTTTTAAGTTGTAGGTGGACACAATATCTTTATTATTTTTATGTGATGCTGAGGATCGAACCCAGTGCCTCATACGTGCGAGCGCAGGCGCAGCCCTCCCGGAGGCCTTTCTAAAACCTTCCCAGGCCCACGAATTCACCAGCAGTTAGCTCCAGGTTAAGGACAGAGTCCCAATATTCCTCTTCTAGGGCTCTAAGAATCCCTTCTGCTCTTCAATCGCCTTAGCCTCTCCAAGGCCCCTCGGCCCCTCCCTCGCACCTCCACGGTCCTACCCTAGGATCCCAGCCTAGTTTTCGAGTTGTGTTGCAATTCATAGTCCCAAACCCTTTCCACTGCAAACTGTGGGCCCAGGGCGGCCCAGCGGGTGCCTAAGCCGACTCCTTCCCACAGAGGGGCGCCACCTGGCCGGAACGCTGAGCTGCAAGCACATCGAGACGTCGGCAGCGCTTCACCATAACACGCGGGAGCTCTTCGAGGGCGCCGTACGCCAGATCCGGCTGCGGAGGGGCCGCGGTCGCACTGGAGGCCAGCGGCACGAGTCGGGCAGCCCTGAAGGCCCCGCGCCATCTGCGCGCCGCGAGAGCCTCACCAAGAAGGCCAAGCGCTTCCTGGCCAACCTAGTGCCACGCAACGCTAAGTTCTTCAAGCAGCGGTCCAGGTCATGTCACGACCTTTCTGTGCTCTGAGCCAAGGTCTCCACAGCCGCTGCGGTCGCAACGGCCACGGCGCCCTCCGCTCGCCCCCTCGTCCCGCCCCCGTCCGGCTTCCTAAGTGGAAGCCGTCTAGGAAACCAAAAATTCCCAGGATCCCCTGGTGTGACCACGGGGGAGGGGCCGGTGGGCGTCATCTCCACCCAGCTCCAGGTACCGTGCGTTCGCGGGGCAGTTCGCCTTCTAGCGCCGGACGCAGACCTCGAGCCGAAGGACTCTCCCGCAACGGCCGCGGGCGGGGCTTGTTTGGGAGGGTCAAGAAAGATAACAGTCCTGCAAGGTATTTTGCTTTTATTAAGTCGCGCGTGGCCACCTCTTCTGTAGAGATTCTAGACAAGAGAACTGAAAAAGTGTTTTGTAGACTCCTAGACGGAGTTGACCTCCTTTGTATGCTGAACATGCTTCACCTTTAAGAGTCTTAAAGACTGGAAGAGGCCCTTTTCTAGAGACTTCCGAAAAAATGTTCTGGCTTTTATCTGCCATACTGGTGCACATTGCCCTTAAGAAGTTCTTAAAGGCAAGGGCCTGGAAGTGCTATTCTGGATAGTTGATTGGGTGATTTACCATTGCCACCGAGGCACTTCACCTTTAAGATTCTTAAAGTGTGGACAGATTTTCTTCTGCCTTCAGATCCCGGAATGAAGAGCCGAGCTGTGGCAACCCCTTTGGCCAGCCTGGCCGAGGCGGCACTAGAAAAAGGCCACCCTTTCCCTTTTCAATAAAGGAATTTTGTATTGCATCCGTTTACCTTGCTTTTTGTTCTTGGAGCCTCCAGGGAAGGGATGAATGTGGATGGAAACTGCTGTTACGGACAAAAATCAAGGAATTGCAGCCCGTAATCCCAGCCCCCAGGAGGCTGAGACAGGAGGACCACAATTTCGAGGGGAGCGTCTGAAATTTAGCAAGGCCCTAAGCAACTTGGGAGATCCTGTCTCAAAGAATAAAAAGGGCTGGGAATGTATCTTAGTACTCAAGAGAAGCAAGGGAGACTCTGGAACTAACTTGGACCATTTCAAGAGGCGAAGAGCCCTTGCAGATAATTGGGTCCACTTTATTTGTAGATGAGGCCTAGAGAGAAACAGGTACCTGCTAAAAGTAATCTAGTAACTTAGTGACACAGTGACCAAGTCTCCACACTCTGGGCCCCCATCTCTTTATCCCACCCTTTACTTGTAGGAAGCTGGCTGGAAGCTATGATCAGCTACCAGAGATACTGAGCTTTTGCTTGGACTTGTTCAAGATGGGGTCCACATCCACGAGTAACACTCATCAGCTGGGGCATGGTGGGGTCTTCCAGAATCTCTCCTGGCAGAGCCCCACATTCTCAGCTGTCACCTGCATAGCCTGTGTGAGTACTGAAGCTGTCACTGCCTCCTCTGGGGACACCCACGCCTGCTGCTGCCTGAGCCATGAGTTTGAACAAAAGGAGCAGAGGCAGCAGCTCTCCTCACCCCTAGAATATAATAAATACAGCTACCTGAGTACCTGAGAGCCTGGCCTCCACCCCAAGTGCAGCCTCCTAGAACTTGGTGAAAAGTGTGATGAGATGTATTTTGGGTCCTTGCAAGCTGAGGAGCCAAGGAGGACCAGTGCAGAATGATTGGTTATGAGATGATAATATGAATAATGGCACTGTCCTTAGAGAAATAAGACATATATATAAGTCTACAACCTATTTTTATAGTGGAAGAAACAGAGTGTAAGTAACTTGCCTGAGAGCTCCCAGTAAGTAATAGAGCTGGGATTCCACTGTCTGCTTAATACTTAATGGTGATTTTATCCAGCTTGGCATGAAACTCCTTTTCCAGTAAGGATGCATGGAAGAGGTGGAAGTATCACAGAAGAGATTCAGGAACATAATGGGTAGGACCATGTTCAGTGGCTGTGATAAAAGGGTCAGAGAAATGACATGTCTATGAGTGTAGTAAAGCAAACTCTAAACCCTGGGGACCATGAAAAGACACAGTTCAAATTCTAAAACAGAGGAAAACACATGGGGCCAATAAGCAACCAGATGGTTGTACAGTTGGGTTGAAACCTCAGGGACATGAAGAGGAGGGGTATAAAAGAATATGAAAAAGGTTTTGAGCCTCACAACAAAGGACCTTAAATGTCAGGCAAATGCATTCCTACCCAACTCTAGAGGCAGTGAGATCACTAGAGGTCTTTGTGAATAGAAATGACATGATCAGGATGGTCTCCCAAGCTGGAAGAGTTGTGCATGGATTGGAGCAGCAAGGCCTGTGCAGCTGAGATTCAGGGCCAGTAATACATTGGAGAGTAATAAAGGACCTTCCCAATGGGGATGGCATTAGAAAAGAAAGGAGGCATGGGTTTGATAGAACTTATTAGACTTGGCAACAGTATGGATGAGTATAGGGGCTGGGGATGTGGATGAGCATAAAGAGAGGGACAAGCTGCAGGTGGGAGGGGATATAGAAAAGAACTACGAGTTGAGAGCAGAGAGTTAGGGATAGGTTGAGTGAGTTCCATATTGGAGACACAGAGTTTGAGATGTTAGAACATCCATATGGAGAATTTCAGACACTCCCTGAACAGCAGTCTGAAATTCAGAACAATTTGGGTCAAGTGACAGATATGAGAATAATCATCATAAAAATGGAAGTGGAAGAGCCAGAAGAAAGGATGAAATACAGGGCTCGCTTTGTTGTATGTATGACCTTTGAAGTCACACAGGAGCCCATGCTTGGCTGTTGTCCTAAAATTATTTGAACAAGAAGCCCTGTGTTTCATTTTGCATGAAACAAGTTATACTAAGGAGATACTAAAGGTGAGAGTTTGGTATGAGCCTTAGCCCCAGACCAGAGATGATTCTTGTAAAATGGTACAGACAATCTAATATTTTGTGTAGTCATGCATTTGTCTGAGAACAGAGTTCATGAATTTCATCAGATACACAAAAGTGTCTTGAGACCCAACAAATTACAAACTATGGATTATACTGATTGCCCCTCGGAAGGGGGACTGGGTGAGTAGAAAACAGGTGGCAGGTGGGAGTTTACTATTCTTCATAGGAGGGTTGGGGTTGTAACTCAATAGTAGTGTGCTTACCTAGCATTCTTAAGGTCCTGGGTTCAATCCTCAACACCACTACAAAAAAAAAATGACATATTCATTTCATTCCCTTTTTCTACATTTTCAATTTTCAACTATGGCATTTAATTAATTAATTAATTAATTTATTTATTTATTTTTATGCGGTGCTGAGGATCGAATCCAGTGCCTTACACATGCAAGGCAAGTGCTTTACCACTGAGCTACAGCCCCAGCCCAACTATGGCATTTATTACCTGTTCTAAAACCAAATAAAGTATCTCCTGGGGATAGATAAGGAGAGGAAGCATCTGTGAAAGAGGTAGAGGAGGAACTCAGGCTGAGTATATTGTGGCTACTGTAGAAGTGGGGCAGGCAACAGAGGGGCAGGTTTCTAACAGAGTATCCCCAATGGTTAAATGAGTCAAGGTAGGAGGATGAAGAACAAGAAAGGCCCATTGCTTTTCATGTGGCAGAAGCTTAAAACGTGTATATCATCTGTTGAAGATGACAGCAGGATCTACCCCATGAGGGGAGCCACACACCATAAACTTCTCTCCCTCCAACTCAGCCCATCCCATCAGCCTGACCCATCTGTGTGTTCCCTCCAGACGCCTACAGGGAAGAGCTCAGAACAGACTGAAGCTGAAGCAGGGCTCCTGCTAGACTTGGGAGAAATAGGGTCTCCTTTGAGAGCCAAGTCACTTCTTGCCCTCCCTCTGATCAAGGAAAAGTACAGCCATTGATCTGGGCTGGGATGAGAGTTCAGCAAAAGAGCCCTGGGTCCTGAGCTGCCTGTGCCTGGTAAGGTTCCCTCTGCTCCTCTTAACCACTGTAACTGTCTAAAGGTCTATGTTCCCTTAGCATCCCCTACTATTCCAGCTTCTCTTTGCCCACAAAACCTCCTCATTCCCTAGAGCATAGACTGTTCTCTCCTGAGGGGCCAAAGGAGTGGGCCCTTCTAGTTATTCCTTTAGGTCCTATTACATCTAACCCTCTTTAGAGAGACTGGAGCAGGGGCTCCCCTCTTCCAAAAGGGTGCCAGATCATGGATGGAAGTCCTCACATCTTTTTATTAATTTAACAGGTTGGTGGCTTTTTTGGGGGGGGGGGCGGTTGGCGGGATGGTCCTGGGGATTTAACTCGAGTGCTTTACTACAGAGCAACATCCTCAGCCTTTTTCACTTTTATTTTGAGTCAGGGTCTCACTCAGTTGCTTAGCGCCTAGCAGTTGCTGAAGCTGGCTTCAAACATGCAATCCTCCTGTCTCAGCCTTCTGGATCACTGAGATTACAGGTGCGTGCCTCTATACTCGGCTCCCAATCTTAACAGTTTTTTAAAAATATTTTTTAGTTGTAGATAGACACAATATCTTTATTTTTTTATATGGTGCTGAGGATCAAACCCAGTGCCTCACACGTGCGAGGCAGGTGCTCTACCACTGAGCCATAGCCCCAGCCTCCCATCTTAACAGTTTTGATCTATGCCAATATAAGTAAATTTTCCTGAACACATTATCTTTTATCCACAAATACTTGAAGTTGTTCCCCCCAACTTCTAAACATAAACAACATACCAAACACTCTCCTGGGAACCGGAGGTAGACAAATCCATTTATGACATTATCTTTGCCCCTTAAATAGCTTACAGTTAAGCTGGGGAAATGGACAGGGTGGTGACGATGCTAAAACAGCAATCAATTAGACCCCATTCTAACTAACTGTAGGCTACCATCAGGTGCTCCAGGAATTCTGAATGGAAGGAAAAATACACATGGGAGACTTGTATCTTAGGATCTGGGCCTTGAAGGACATGGAGGCTATAGATAAATGGGGGAAAGTAGGGAAAACATTCCTTGCAGTGAAAATACATGAGTAAATGCATGGAAGAGAAATGGTGGGCAGCCCAATACATACATAATGAGGAAAAGACCCTCCCTGTAATATAAGGTAGTACAATTTGGGTGAATGGTGGAACAAAGTTGTCTAGGGACCCCAAAACCAGACAAAAGCATTCTGCTTTTTCTCATCTTGACTTTGATGGTTTTATGACATCCTCAAGATGCCTTTTCATCTATCTGAATAATGATGAAAAGCTTCCACAGCTTGGCCTTATAAACTCAAGCTATGGATGTGAATTCAGTGGAGACTTGCATTCAGGATATTTCTTAGATGGGGCCAACTTATGGGAATTAAGTCACTTTAAGTCTCTTTCCTTTTCTGAACCTCAGCTATGCTATCCCAACTACAAAATAAAGATAATGAAGTACCTGTCTTGTAGGATATTTGTGAGAATAAAGGGCAAAGATCTTTGTCAAGTGATATAGTGATGAACAGTGGAAGCAATGTCTTTTGCAACCTATGTTCTGGCCCCGTATTTAGACACTCAAGCACTTTAGTAAAGTTATAGTTCAGCACCAGTCTGCAGATACGATTGCTAAGTAGTGGTCCACAAGGTCCAACAGACCTCCCATGAGACTCACAGGTAACCCATTAACAGAGGTGGTCATTTGGAGGACTGGGAGGAAGATTGGCAACTGAAGCCGCAATGAGAATATTGTTCTACATAATTTCCATTGTGTTGTTCAAATTCTAACTTTTCTTTAAGCAGAGGACCTATACTTATTTAAAACATTTATTCAGAAAGGAAATTACCAGGGTAGGGCTAGAGAAGGAAGACCAACAAAGACAGGTGCTAGAATTCTTAAGATGTTAGGCAGGCCCTAAACAATGGGCTGTAACACAGATTGCTCTGGGATTTTTCCTCCCTGCCCAAAGAAAAGGGCAGTAAGTACTTTGAAGTTACCTGGTGAGGCTCACCTTGAATTTTCTAAACCATCTTGTTATAATCTGACTATATGGGTGGATCCTCAAGGATGCAGGGAGATTGGGCTTGTTGGGATTCATTTTCCTGAAAATTAGGCTGGTTGAATTTTGACACAGGAACTTGTGAGCCTGGGAATGTAACTCAGGAAAGATTGATTCATTTACATCATTGCCCCATCCTTGCTTCTCCCCCTGTAAGCCTTGAGAATTCTCTAAAATTGGGGAAGAGAATGAGGTCAGGCAGGAAGTCAAGTGAGTTGGCACCCAGAGAAATGGTAATAATGACGACATCAAAAAGCTAACAGTTCTAAGCTCTTCGTACTTAGCATCTCATTTAATCTCCACAACATTCCTGAGATAGGTACTGTTTTCATTTTCTTTTTATAGATGAAGAATATGAGCTAGATAAGTTCCCAAGCTTATTCAGCTAGTTTGTGACAAGAAAAGGGAGCTGAACCCCATAGGTGGCTTGAGTGACCATTCTGCTACAGAGTGAAAATACCCTAGCTTGCTTTCAGCTAGAGTTAAAAGGAGGCAGCTAATTCTCAGCAACCCTCATTCTAAACAAGTAGGTCTCCTGATACATAAAAACTGACTGAAGCTCTTATCCTTTCTGGAACATTGGCAATAGTATGGCAAGTCTCTAATTTCCAAGGTCATTGTTTTCCCTCTGTACAACCCAGTGCTGACTGGCTCCTTTCCAGTCTTCAGGCACCTCATCCATCTACCCATTGCTCTCAAAAATAACTGCCTAATGGCTCTCCAGTAACTTCAGCCAACTCTTAAGGGCTCTTGAGAACAGATCATCTGGAGCAGCTAACAGAACTCGTCCAACTTTCTAAAGTGGTCTTTGATCAGATCTTTCCTTGCTTTTACCTTCCTACATGATTTAAGTTGGTTGGTCTGCTTCACTTCACATTCAGAGTTCTTTCAACCAGGAGCAAATCTTGATAATGCATACTAGTTTTGGATATAGAGTGCAAAGTTGGGAGGAAAGAGAAATATCTGAGACTAGAAGATTCCGTCTCTCAAACCAAAATTCCTCTCCTTTATCCAGCTCATGACTATTGCCTTCACCTGGTTGCCATGGAAACATCAGTTGCTAGTGGATGGTATGCAGCACTTCAGACAAAAAGTATCACAGGCTACCATGGTAACACCAAAAAGAGTAGATCTGCATCCTCTCTCCTAGAGGAGTAAGAAAGGAATAGATGAAGCTGCTGGGGAAAGCAGGCTAGAAGGGACAAACTTTGGAAAGCCTGGATCTGACTTTGATAGAGAGGGAATTAATTCAACAGACAATTTAATATGTGCAAGGCAAATCAATAATGAAAGACTTGTATGGTGGCTTCATCATGCTATAACTATCTAGTAAAAGAGTTTGCAAGGAACTGTAAATAAAGGCAGAATGAGACCCACAAATAGGACAAGGAATAACGAAAAGGGAGATCAGATCCAACTAAGGAAGTTTCAGGGTCCTACAGGATAGGATTTTGACCAGAAATGGAGAAGAAAGAAACAAGATGAGCAAAGACACAAAGGAAGAAAAATTCAGGGTCAGGCTGGGTTATAGGTCAGTGGTAGAGGGCCTGCCTAACATGCCTGAGGCCCTGAATTTGGACCCCAGGAAAATAAAAAATAAATATTCCAGCATCCCCCCAAGATCATAGGTACAGAAAGAGGAAAAATGATACTTGCCCACTGACTCCAAGACTTGGCTTCTTCCATAGTAACGCTGAACAGTGGGGTAAAGTTAAGGAGGAGGGTCAAGAGACCTAAAGCCACGCCACTTGGATTGGAAACTTGAACTTGCCAAGTGTGAGATTGTGCGGCAAGTTACTTAATCTCTTTGGGTATTAGTTTCCTTGTTTACAAAGTAGACAATAAAACAACTAACCCTAGGTAGTTATTGTGAGGATTAAATGATTTAGTAGATATAACCTATTAGTATCATGCCTGACCCACAACAAATCCTGCATAAATGTTAACAATTATATAACACATTCTACTTTATTTTCAGAGCCACAAGAGACTTTTTCATTGTCCAAGTATTACTCCCTGATTCTCGCCAGACCTTCTCCACAGGAAAGAGGGACTGTGGTATAATTTCTTTCAGGTGTTTAACTCACTTCCCTTCATTGTTTAAGTGACAAAAACAAAGGTTCACAAGTCAAGCCCCCTGAAAGCCAGAAATGGTAGCTCACATCTAAGGGCTGTTGGACCCAAGAATCTAGAATGACAAGAACCCAAGTTTAAAGAATAGGGAGGAAATGGTATTGCCTTACAGAAGACAGAATCACAGGCTATATAAACTAAAAATCAGGTGAAAATTTCATTTATAATTGGCACTGGTAGAAGCCAGACATGGTGGTGCACTTCTGTAATCCTGACTATGTGGGAGGCTAAGGCAGGAGGATCACAAGTTTGATGCTAGCCTAGCCAACTCAGCAAGGCCCTGGTAAAACTTTTTTTTTTTTTTT